TTCAGATTTTTGATTTTGGGTTAGGAATGCTCAGACCTGTAATAATAATCACAGGAATGAATATGGTTTGTTCTAAGTGCTAAAATTTGGTGCAAATGAAAGGTGTAAAACCATGTGTAAACTACCTAAGAAGATTAAATGAATGGATAAGCTTTTGCAGAAAATACATGAACTAGAAGGATAGATTTGGGCACCGCAGTGTGTACCTGCTGTCCCCCCTACTCAGGAGGGAGACAGGAGGATTGCTTGAGCCTAGGAATGTGAGGCTGCAGTGAGCTACAATTACATCTGTGAATAGCTACTACATTCCATCCTAGGCAATGTAGTCAAATGCAATTTCTGAAAAAATAATAAAACAATAACAAGTTAAATTATAGCGCCATAAAGGAAAATTCAAATATCAGTTAAAATGTTGTCCCCCATAATAAAGTTAGACTTGAGGGTTTAATAGTTTAAAAAAAAAAAAAAAAACTCATCTTGGCTGGTCGCGGTGTCTCACATTTATAATCTCAGCACTTTGGGAGGCCGAGGCGGGCGGATCACCTGAGGTCAGGAGTTCGAGACCAGCCTGGCCAGTACGATGAAACCCTGTCTCTACCAAAAATACAAAAACAAGCTGGGCGTAATCCCAGCTACTTGGGAGGCCAAGACAGGAGAATTGCTTGAACCCAGGAGGTAGAGATTGCAGTGAGCCAAGATCGCGCCATTGCGTGATGGGTGGTGACAAGATGGGTGATCTCACCTGGGTGACAAGAGTGAAACTCCATCTCAAGAAAAAAAAAAATCTTACATTCCATAATGGTAGTCGTTTTGTTATATAGACCCGTTCTGCTTATTGACAGGATTTGAGGTTTACAAAATTAATTTAAAATAACAGTGAGAGAATAGGGTCATAATTTGATGGTACTAGGAGTTTAAAAACATGTTCTTATGGGCATATTCTTCACGTAGCTACTACTGCGATTACCTACATAGAAGTCCAGGCATAGGCTGGGTGCGGTGGGCTTATGCCTATAATCCCAGCACTTTGGGAGGCTAAGGCAGGCAGGTCACTTGAGGCCAGGAGTTTGAGACCAGCCTGTTCAACATGGCAAAACCCTGTCTCTACTAAAAATAGAAAAATTATCCGGTGTGATGGCACTTGCTTTTAATCCCAGCTACAAGGGAGGCTGAAGCACTTGAACCTGGGAAGCAGAGGTTGCAGTGAGCCGAGATGGCACCTCTGCACTCCAGCTTGGGCAACACAGCAAGACTCTTGTCTAAAAATATTAAAAAAAACAAAGTCCAGGCTGAAAACTAAAACTAGTTCTCTGAAAGAATATCTCCAGCAAACCTAAAGTATAGTCCATGGATATATTTGTCTGGTGATCTAATTTAGTATAGAGATATAACTTAGAGAATGTATCATGTAAATATATTTCATCAATTCATAGGTGAGGGCTAGATGGAAGTCTCCTTGGAGAACTGGAAATAGAGGTGTGGGGTGGTAGTAATGAAAACCCACGCATTTGACCTACGGAGCATGCTCAGAGCGAGGCCCATCCTGCTTTCACAGTCAACTCTGGGGTAGGGTGGGTAGCATCAGGACTTTTCTCGTAGAGTAGTACTGGATCTACTTGGGTTCACACCTCAGAGCAGGAAGGTAACAACTTTTCTCGCGAGCATCGCTAGAAAGATCTGGTCACCACCATCTCACCACAGGCGTTAGTATAAAATAAGCACACTTACTGCTGCTACCACCGTACCAATCTAGAGGAGACAGCTCCAGTAAGAAAAAGTGACACTTACGGTGTGCCCCACGGTACTTTGTCCTTCTTGTTTGTAATTACAGAATATTATAATGATTGCATTCAGTCTTCCCATGTAAATTGAAAGCCATCTGAGCATTTTCTTGACTTTTTTATAGAATTGGTACAGTGACTTGAGTTCTACTCATCGTGTAATGAGTAACGAGTGCTTTTAGAATGAATACAAATGTAATTTTTAGGAAGTTCAGGAAAACATCTTACTAAGAATATCCAAGGGGAGCCGGCGAGTCCCAGTGCGAGTGGAGGGTGCCAGAGGTAGGGGGCCGAGAAACAAAGTTCCCGGGGCCCCCTCCACAGCCGTGGTCGGGGCTGCGCGTTTGGCTGCCCCCGTCCTCGCGAAGACAGTGGCTTCCAAACTCCTGCGCGCGGTCATCCTCGGGCCACCCGGCTCGGGCAAGGGCACCGTGTGCCAGAGGATCGCCCAGAACTTTGGCCTCCAGCATCTCTCCAGCAACCACTTCTTGGGGGAGAACATCAAGGCCAACACCGAAGTTGGTGAGACGGCATAGCAGTATATAGAGAGAAGTCTTTTGGTTCCAGACCATGTGATCACACGCCTAATGATGTCTGAGTTGGAGAATAGGCGTGGCCAGCACTGGCTCCTTTATGGTTTTCCTAGGACATTAGGACAAGCCGAAGCCCTGGACAAAATCTGTGAAGTGGATCTAGTGATCAGTTTGAACATTCCATTTGAAACACTTAAAGATCGTCTCAGCCGCCGTTGAATTCACCCTCCTAGCGGAAGGGTATATAACCTGGACTTCAATCCACCTCATGTACATGGTATTGATGATGTCACTGGTGAGCCATTAGTCCAGCAGGAGGATGATAAACCCGAAGCAGTTGCTGCCAAGCTAAGACAGTACAAAGTCGTGGCAAAGCCAGTCATTGAATTATACAAGAGCCGAGGAGTGCTCCACCAATTTTCCGGAACGGAGACAAACAAAATCTGGCCCTACATTTACACACTTTTCTCGAACAAGATCACACCTATTCAGTCCAAAAGAAGCATATTGACCCTGCCCAATGGAAGAACCAGGAAGATGTGGTCATTCATTCAGTTGTGTGTGTAGTATTGGTGCTGTGTCCAAATTAGAAGCCAGCTGAGGTAGCTTACAGCATCTTTTCTAGTTGAAATGGTGAACTGATAGGAAAACAAATGAGTAGAAAGAGTTCACAAGAGGCCCTCCTCTGCCTTTCAAAAGGAAGGTCACCTACACATGTTTAAGGTGTCTCTGCACACGTCTGAAGCCCTTCAACAAGAAAGCAAGTACAGTGTGGATTTCAAATGGTGTGTAACTTCAGCTCCAGCTGGTTTTTGACAGCTATTGCTGTGGTATTCTTTTTTACACGTGATGGTGATAGTATCTGGTTCTTTCCATCCCCACAAAGGCTGTTGAACCACAGCACCAGGAAGCCTGAGAATGAATCCTAAGGGCTCTAGCCCAGGCTTTGTCCCAGGCTTTCTGGTGTGTGCCCCCCGGTAACAGTGAAATTGAAGCTACTTACTCACAGTGGTGGTTTCTCTGCTCTTGAGTGACTGTGTCCACAGTTCAATTTTTTCCGGTGGGAATAACTCCTTTTCTGCATCCACACTCCATAGAGTCTCTCCTTTTCAGACATCCTGGGATGAAAGAATTTGGCTGTTTTTTTTTTGACATCTGTTTTCACTTTTAGGCTGTTAAACAAAACTGATAGTTACTGCTCTTATCCTTCTCAAATTCTTCTAAGAACTGAGAGTGATGGGGCTGTATTGAATTTCTGTATGCACCGGGAACTGAGCTATGAAGAGGATCTTATTAAACTGCTGGTCTGACTCTCATGGATTGACACTGTTCCTTTCTTTTATTGTGAAAAAAAATTAACCCCCTAAAAGTCTTGGGAACCCCCTAAGGTATTTTGGGAATCCTCAAAAAGCATGGGAAGTATAAGTATTTAGCTACATAAATGTTGTAAAATCATATCTTATGTATAGAAGTAATAAGACCATTTGGAATTACTGGACTAATTGAATAGTTACGGTTTCTATTCAGTACAACAAAATGTATTTTGAAAGTGCTACTAACTATTGATGCTGACAGTGTTTCACTCCTATGAGTGACCCAAACATATTATAAATAGGTAAAGGGAATGGAGCCTGTGGGGTTGAGCAGAATGTTGTACTAGCTGTGCCTGGACTGAGTATAATAACTTTATGATTATGGGAAAACAAAATCTTTATTTTTTTTTCCTGTTCCAAAGATTCATCCTGTGGGCCGGGCACGGTGGCTCAAGCCTGTAATCCCAGCACTTTGGGTGGCCAAGACGGGCGGATCATGAGGTCAGGAGATCGAGACCATCCTGGCTAACATGGTGAAACCCCGTCTTTACTAAAAAATACAAAAAACTAGCCAGGCGAGGTGGCGGGCGCCTGTAGTCCCAGCTACTCGGGAGGCTGAGGCAGGAGAATGGCGTAAACCCGGGAGGCGGAGCTTGCAGTGAGCTGAGATCCGGCCACTGCACTCCAGCCTGGGCCACAGAGCGAGACTCCGTCTCAAAAAAAAAAAAAAAAAAGATTCATCCTGTGGGGTGGCCATGAAGTCTAGAATTAGATACTAATATTTTGTCATGCATTATAACATAGTATCAATAAACCATTTGTTAAAAGATTTAAAAAAAGAAAAAAGAAAAAAAAAATTCAAGGGAAAACAGAACAGTAATAGAAGCACAGATACAGCAACATGGCAAGATAAGTCCACAGAATTTACTTACAGTGTACATACTAGTGATAAAAAAACAGCCTAGCATTTTTTTTAAATAGTAATTTTAGGCTGGGTGCTGTGACTTAACGCCAGTAATCCCAGCACTTTGGGAGGCCAGGGCAGGCGAATCACGAGGTCAGGAGTTCAAGACCGGCCTGTCCAACGTGGTGAAACCCCTTATCTACTATGAAAAATACAAAAAATTAGCTGGACGTAGTGACAGGCGACTGTAATCCCAGCCACACAGGAGGCTAAGGCGGGAGAATTGCTTGAACCTGGGAGGTGGAGGTTGCAGTGAGCCGAGATGGCGCCCCTGCACTCCAGCCCGGGTGACTGAGTGAGACTCCATCTCAAAAAAAAAGTAATTTTAAAAGACAACAGCAATAAAGAATGTTAAATATTGAGAATTTAATGTGGCAACTTAGAAGTTCATTCAAAGAATTAAAAGACAGTTTGATGGTGGCCGGGTGTGGTGGCTTACGCCTGTGATCCCAGCGCTTTGGGAGGCCAAATTAGCCGGGTATGGTGGCGCACATCTGTAGTCCCAGCTACTCAGGAGGCTGAGACAGGAGAATTGCTTGAACCTGGGAGGCGGAGATTTCAGTGGGTCAAGATCACGCCACTGCACTCCAGCCTGGGTGACAGATCGGGACTCCGTCTCAAAAAAAAAAAAAAAAAAAAGGACAAACTTTGCAGGTCAGTATAAACACTTAAAATATCGTTTAAATTACAATGTTTCATTATTCTAGAAAAACAGGAAAACACATATACCATATGATTTTTTTTTGTGAGGGGGTAAAAAGTAGGAATTTGTGAAGCAGGGAAGCTTCTAAATCCAGCAGACTTTTAAATATGTTCTAAAATGAAAGTCGTCACACCTAGATAAGATTTGGGTAAAAAATGAAAATAGGCCGGGCGCGGTGGCTCAAGCCTGTAATCCCAGCACTTTGGGAGGCCGAGACGGGCGGATCACGAGGTCATAAGATCAAGACCATCCTAGCTAACATGGTGAAACCCCGTCTCTACTAAAAAAATACAAAAAACTAGCCGGGCGAGGTGGCGGGCGCCTGTAGTCCCAGCTACTCCGGAGGCTGAGGCAGGAGAATGGCGTGAACCCGGGAGGCGGAGCTTGCAGTGAGCTGAGATCCGGCCACTGCACTCCAGCCTGGGTGACAGAGCGAGACTCCGTCTCAAAAAAAAAGAAAAAAACAACAACAAAAATTAGCTGGGTGTGGCGGTGCATGCCCGTAATCCCAGCTACTTTGGAGGCTGAGGCAGGAGAATCGCTTGAACCCAGGACACAGAGGTTGCAGTGAGATCACGCCACTGCATTCCAGCCTGGGCAAGAGAGCAAGACTCCATCTCGGGAAAAAAAAAAAAAGAAAGTAGATAGGATATGTATTTCAGCTGTAAAGAGGAGCTAAAATTGAACTATCAAAAAATTGTTTTCCCCGGGCGCAGTGGCTCACACCTGTAATCCCAGCACTTTGGGAGGTCAAGGCCAGAGGATCACTTGAACCCAGGAGTTTAAGACCAGCCTGGGCAACACAGTGAGACCTTGTCTCTATATGTGTTAAAAAATTAAGTAAAAAGAGGAATAAAATTTAAAACTTTAAAAAAAAAAAAAGAATTTCTTTGTTTGTCTTGAGTCAGAATCTCACTCTGTCACCCAGGCTGGAGTGCAATGGTGTGATCTCGGCTCATTGCAGCCTCCGCTTCCAGGGTTCAAGCAATTCTCCTGCCTTAGCCTTCTGAGTAGCTGGGATTACAGGTGTGTACTAGCATGTCCAGCTAATTTTTGTATTATTAGTAGAGACGGGGTTTCGCCATTTTGGCCAGGCTGGTCTCGAACTCCTGACCTCAGGTGATCCACCCGCCTCAGCCTCCCAAAGTGCTGGGATTACAGGCGTGAGCCACTGCACCTGGCCAAAAGAATTGTTTTTAATGACCAGATAAAAGGCTTAATAGTATTAACTTTTAAAAAAAAAATCTGTGCAATAAAAAATAAAACAGTGGGAAGTCATGAATATAAATAAGAGCTTAATATAGTGAATTAAATAGAAATATCTGAACTTTACTAAAGGTAGTTCCTAGGCTTTTATAGATGAGGGATCAATTTTAATTCAACAAATGGCATGGATATGGGTAAGCAGTCGACAGTAACGAGGGCTGCAGTCACGGTGATCACAAAGTGCCGTGAGTGCTTTTGGCCTTTTTCACTGAGGGAACGAGGTGACTGCCCGTGACCCTGAGAATCCTGCCATCCTTTTAGACTTAAGCCAGACCGTCAGACTGCTGCAGGCTTCCACAGGATGTATCGGCCCTTGGCGTGTGATGTCAGTGGCCTATGTAGATGAAGTCTGTGACAGCCGGTCCCGGGGGTTTGTTCTTGGCCTTATTCATGCTCTTCTACCGTGACATCCTTGTGAGAACCCTTGGGAGAAATTTTTGATTTTGATGTCAGAATTTCACCTGAAGGATTGGTTTGCTTTCGTCTTTTGAACCCTGAATTACGTAACTGTTTTCATCTTAATGATGACTGCTAAAAAGTTTAGTTAGAAACAGATGTGTATGGGCTGACTCTTGACTAATTTAGACATCTTCCAGGAAAACATTTCTGTCTTGTCATCTGTGGCTCTGCTTTCAGTCTCTCTCCGTGTTTAATTTGCTTTTTTTTTTTTTTTAACTTATTGTTGTTAAAAATTTTTCACTTTTCTTTTCTTTTCTGAGATGGGGTCTTACTGTGTTGCCCAGGCTGGTCTCGAACTTGTAGGCTCAATCGATCTCTAGCCTCAGCCTCCCAGAGCACTGGGATTACAGTTATTTGTTATTCTTTTTATTTTCTAGTCTCTTGTGCTGAACTGCATATATCTTTTAAATAGACTTTAAATTCTCTTTGGTAGAAAGTGAGAAACATACATATATTACACCTATAAAATCAGTAAAACCAAATGAAAATTATCAGACCCAATGTTGTAAGGGCCATAGGGAAATAAGCACATACATGTGGTTAATGACAGTGTGCACTGAGTTTCTGAGGAGTATGAGTAGCAATAGATGCTTAGAGTTATAACGTTATTTATTCTTATTAAGTGGTTAATGCCACTTTTGGAAATGTATCACAGAGAAGTAACCCAAAAGAAGATAGTCCTTACAAAATTATTTATAGCTACGATGCACAACAGTGAAAGAGGGGAAGCAACTCAAACGCACAGTGGTAGAGAAGAGTCGAATAAGTCAGTTAATATGATGGAATGTTATAAAGCCACCAAAAATGATTCAGTGGGTTAAAGAGAAATGTCCATAAAATATGTAAATTATCAAAACATGCATTAAATCTATTTAAGACTATGTAGATATAGAAAAAAGAATGAGATGGTCATGGTGAGACTGCTAGGTGGGAAGGGGTCCCTGGAAAAACTCCAGCCGGCCTGCCCCCCGGGGTGGAGCTTTGGGAAGTTTGCACCATTTGTAGTGGGGAGGCGCCTGGCGCCTCTTCTTTCTGTGTGGAGCCTGGGATTTTAGCTGCTGGCAGGAAGCACTCTAGCAGGGATTCTGGCCTTGTGAGAGTCTCTGATTCCCCCTTTTCTTCCTTTTCATCTAATAAAACCCTGTCTTACTCACCATTCAAACTGTCTGTGAGCCTAAATTTTTGTGGCCGTAAGACAGACAAGGACCCCATCTTTAGCTGAAC